GGTAGGATAAGGATAATAATTTTTCTTCAGGACACAATATCGATAGGACACAGTATATTAATAGGACACAATATTCGTAGGACACACTCGTAAAAGTGACGGCGGATGAACGACTCCCCGAGAAGGGGAAGGAAGGGGTTTTTATAAGTTCGGCGTGGGAGAATGGTCATGTGACCAATTGTTGTGAGGTAAAAGGTACGCAGATGGGTCAGAGTTGTTCCCGGGCTCATGCTAACTATCAACTTAGCAGTTGGAATGTGGGATTAGTTTCGAAATGAACGGATGTTTATGTCGAACATAAAGAAAAAAATTTTTTTTTCGTTAGGTTTTACTTTAAGGTAATGAAAATTTAGTTGGATTTTAGGCAAAAACGGGACAATTAATCGTCAAATAATCGGTAAAAATTCCGGATTTCACACATATGTCTTCTGAAGAAATTGGTAAAATTAAAGCCTGGAATGCAGATGGACACTCCAAACAAATTATACATGAATTAAACAGGAATGCTGCTGTCATCAGTAGTTTTCTAACAGATGAGAATAATTATGGAAAGAAAAAGAACATAGGAAGTCCAAAAGATTTTAGCCAACACCGAGAGAGAGAAATTTTGTCATATCAGCAACAGTTTCAACACTGCATTTAAAATTTGAAAAGAATTTGACGTAAGTGATCATCTAAAGTGTGATACAAAAATCACCAAACTTAAAACAAATATATGATGATAAAGAATCTCCACTTTGACTGACCCAGTACAAAAAGTGAGAATAGAGATTGTACAAACAACAACGTTGTGGACTAAAAAGTGAAAGATTTTCATCTTTCCACATGAAAAACAATTTAATTTGATGGCCCCAATAGATTCAGCTGCTACTGACAAGATTTGAGAAAAGACAAGCAAATGCTGTCCAAGAGGCAAATGGATCAGTAATTATTTGGTCAGCAATAGAATAGAATGGAATAGGATGGTATGGAAAATACAATGTGGTTTTCTGTTCTGGAAAATTAGACTTAAAATCATATGAACGGATGCTAGAAAACAACTTATTGGATATAGCTGGACAAATAAGTGTTCTGATTACATATTCCAACAAGATAATGCTAGCATCCAAGAATCAAAATCTTGATTTGCCAAACAATCTCCAGACTCAGCAAGGCTTCAGAGCTGAACATAACTTAAAATGTTTGAGATCTTGCTAGATCTCTTTACACAGAAAGGCCAACAGTTTTAAGTGTGTGGACAAACTGTTTAATCAATGTGCAATTTTGTTTGGAGTGTCTGTCTGCATTCCAGACTATAATTTTACCAATTTCTTCAGAAGACAGTAGACCACCTCTGTGTTCTAGAAATATCAACAAATTATCATAACTACTTCACCACAAAATGCAAATTATTTGGGATTGTATAACAATGTGAGGGAAGTAAATAGATAAATAAAATATAAAAAAAAATGAAAATAAAGTAAACACTGATGTTCATATCATTTTGATGTTCCTGTTTCACTGATCTGTGCAAAATAAGCAGGAGGAAGAAGTGATTGTTGCATCATGGGATACAATTCAGCAGTCCAGAATTCAAAACTTCAAATTTTTAAAGCCATAACAAAGAATGAGGTGGTACTCATTATTAAATTGTATACAAATTATTTAACTACATTAAGTTTATTGCAATAAATGTTATTTGTAGATTTGTTCATATCATTTTGCATGTATCATTGTATCTATTTGCACTCATTTATGCAAAATATTTTTTTAATAATTCTTGAACATTTACTAAATTTATTAATACTGCTTTACAACAAGAACCTTACTGTGTATGATATATAAATTCTTCATTAAGCCTTAACAAAATTGCTTTTTGTTAAGTAGGAATCTTAGTGTTTACATCATTTTGATACAATATGTATAATGAATGCATCTAGATGGCAAGTCGCAAAAATTCTAAAGCCATGACAGTCCATTCCATGGAAAGCAAATCACATCATTAGTTACCTTACTTTGCCACTCAATACTTATAGCCCCGTTTACCCAAAACATACTAAAAGTATATCAGAAATTATGCAAATTAAACAAATTTAAATATCAAATTATATGAATTTTAAAGATGATCCTTTTACTACATTCTCTTATAAAATTATTTTTCATTATTACTGAATTGTGGCAAAAAAAATTGTAGAATATTTCCATACAAATTTATATAAAAAGAGAAAAATAATGTGCATGTTATGATTTTTGCAAATGCTACTTTGCATAAACATACAGTTTATGTAAAGAACTGCATGGTTGTGCAAAATAATTCATGCATACTTTCTTCCTTTAGCATGAATACACCAAGTTGACCGAAAGACAACACTACAATTCAGAGTCAAAGTATTATTTTATATTTGGCTGTATCTGCCACAAGTGCAGAATAAAACTTTCCATGACAATTTGAACAATAGGCCTCTTTCTATTTGACTTTTCAATCTTCTATCAAATGAAACGGCACAATAAATTACAAATATTTGTCATTTCTTACAATTGGCATCAATATTTAAACATCTATACTATCCAAATTTGTTACATCTTATGTTTTTGATCACAATCTATATTGCTAATTTTGTATATGTAATTTTAACATAACATTTAATAGATATAAAATTTTAAACATATTATCAGAATCAGAAATTAGTTTCCAACTACTTGTGTTTCCTGAATTGGTCATTTTTGGAATATGAGAGCCAGCCTTTAAGCCAGAAGATTTGTCAACTTTCTGATGCAAACAACCCAAGGTGTGCTCAGCAGAAAATAATAAACAATAACTTAATCAACACCTGATCACTCGCTGAGAGATTTATTCTTAAAACAATTTATTCTTAAATTCTGATGCATTTTAGTAATAATACTACTATAAGTATTCCTTTCTCATTTCTAATATTTTGAAACTTTCACACTTGTATTATAGCTCCAATTTTATTCCTGCTATATTTTAATTAATATTTTACCTATTGCATCTTCTGTTTTATCTTGTATATTTACCATAATAATTCTGGCATATTTCAGAAACATGGTGTACCTCTTTTTCGTGTTGCCATTCCTAAAAGATACTCATCATCTTATAAACCCCTATCTTTGTCTGCAGTTATGCTGAATTTTTTTTGAAATTTGTATTTACAATTACATTTAGTGTCCAGTTGTGACCATACTACAGGTAAACGCCATCCAACACTGTGTTATCCAGTTTCAATTTACCATCACTAATTTACTTTCTATTCAACAAGAAATAGTTAAAAATTTTGAGAGTAAAAAACCTAAGGTATTTATTTTATTCACTTATATCTTTTTTTTTTACCAAACTTTTTAAAAAAAACCATTTTGACATTTACCCTACTGTTCAAATATGGCTAAATAATTATTTTTTACTATGTTCCTGCAAAGTTAAACACTTTATGTAATTTTTCACCAGTGTGCAAAATTCCTCAAGAATCCATTTTAAATAGCCTTCATTCTATTGCTTATTTGGATCTTATTATTCCTTGTGTTAATCTAAAATTATAACTAATGCTAACGATCTAAAAATTATCGATTATGATCCAGAAACTTTTCAAGTCAATCTTAATATTTTAGTTGTCTGCCTCAAATTTCTAAATATTAAAATTAATCTATTCAAAATAGTATCTGTTAGTTACTCGCTATCAAAAAGTCCAAATAATTATACTTTTTATATTATTGGGGTAGCAAATTAATTCTGTTCATTCAGTAAAAAATTAACATTTAAACACCATATTGATAAACTAATAAAAAAATTTTGGTAACTAAGGGGAATCTAGTGGCATCACCGTAACTTAATTTTGTCACACTCAGTTTTGAAATCGCTCTTCTTCACTAATTTTTACTTCCCGGTCGACTATTGTCTGCGTGTACGGTCTGCAGCAGCTCCATCGTTTCTTAGCAAAATTTCAAATGCACTCGCAAGATTTATCTTTTATTTAACAAGGTAGGTCATCTATCTTACACCAACTCTAGCAAGGCGGCACGAATATTCGGAATCCAAAAATTCTTTGCACGCGCTAACTATTTCGATCGACCGTTTTATCCGTAATTCGACGGGTTACTTTCTCCACGTAACGGCACATAATTTTATCCACGTTCCTTCTAGACCGACTCAAAATTTATCTGGTCGTTTTCTAATTTCCACCTATCGTCATCTTGCCGCTACGGTCATTTTTATTTTTCGATTTCACTTTTTTAAATCTAAGTTTAGAAAAATACTTATAATTTACCGTGGTAATTCTTTTATTATATATACACGTCCGGGCTTTATCTTATAATTTTTAATGCTCATATATTATACACAGTTCGTAAATTTTATCTCTTCTTCCTTAGTTTTTAATAATTTATATATATTTTATTATTATTTTTTTTGTCATTTTGTTAGTTATGTTTTTGTGGGGCAAATTAATTGTTATTTTGGTGGTTGTTATTGTCATTTTCTTTTATACCAGATAGCTATTATAACAATTTAAACATACTGACAGCTATTGCATCTATTCTCCGCCGTCAAAACAAAAACAAAATGACAGAAAGACCCAACACTTTGAACCTAGGAGTGAAAATTCATCAAAGGAAGAAAAAAACCATCAAATCTCATAAAACTTAAATGTGGGTGTGGCATTGAAAGATTTCAACTTCATCCATAAAACACATTTCAAGGCAGATCAATCTGACAAAAAAAAAAAAAAAAGTCGACTTTCTAACAAAAACTTATGCAAGGATGTAATTTCAAAGGCAGAGAATTAAATTAAATCAATCATTTACACGAAAATCACTGGAAGATTATTAAAATCGTGTAAAAATGCATTGTAATTTCAACGAGTTTACATCAGAAAGGGCTGAAAACAACATCCAGGTTCAATGTGTTTGTATCGACACGAGAGTCGAACTTGGCCCATTTTATCAAACAAAGGAGTAATTTATCGCATTTTCGATGGAGGAAATGAAAATTATTTGAAAGATGCACTCACCCTAGCAGACGGATCTCGAAGAATGATTGTTTTTTCTTCGGGTCGGTCTCTGGGACGATAAGAGATCTTGTATCCCAAGAACTCCCCGTGGATGGAATGCCTAGGTGGTGGCGCCCACTGGATTCGAATAGTGGAACTACTAGTATTATGAGCCCCTATGATGGTAGGCTTACCGTCGGGTACTACGAGGTGGGAGGAAAAAAAAAAAAAGCAAAATAAACAAATTACCAATTAGAAATTTTAATTCGATTATATTAATAATTTAATTTAGTTTACTAATAATATTTCCATTCATTTTAACGAATTGTGATTAAAAAAAAAAAAATGCTCGCTTTGGCGTGTTAACGTAACGTATCCGCCCGAATTACGGTATAAAATATTAATTTTTCCATTTAATATTCGTTGTGATGGAGATTTCCTTTTCGATAAATGTCGGTCTGCCGTATTAACCGACCGTCTAGACGCTTCTAAACAACAAAATATTGTCTGGAAATTTATTAATAAGAGTTAATTCGGTTGAAAACTTTTCTGAATTTTTCGACTTTTCTCTTTTAATATTACAAAAGGTGTTTCGGAGCTCGGGTCGACGCTTATAGACAAACAAAGGTCGATCGGTCAAGCGTGATTCCAATTAAAGACAGAGTTCAAGCGTCGCCCAACTTTCGTAAGGAGGAGGAGAAATTTGAATAAATAAATAAATGAAAATTTTACCTTTTGTTACTACCTATGTACTAAACACGAACGCATTTGTCGTTAAGTCGGAAATTTTGCATCGAATAATATTCGATTAGTCGCTCCACCGCAGGAAATAGATGCAGAAATTATGGATTTTCAATCCAGTTAAGGATCTACGCTACAAATATCCGGCTTTAATTTTTAAAATATAAAAAAATAGCCGCTTTTTACGTTTGCCAATACGGAGGAATATCTTATCTCTTCCCGCCTTTATCGAGTTTTGAAAATTAATTTACACATTTTTTATATCTATTTTTATTTATTTATATTAATTATCCGGAGGCGATCTTAACTACATTCAAATTTATGGAGGTGAATATAAAGTAAGAGAGTGTGCCAATTCGTATTTGTGTACGAATATCGTTGATGCATAAAACACGACAAAAGCCAGAAAGGAAGCGCATATAAATCATTCGGTTATGTTAATAAATGTATTATTCTCGTCTATTGTGTCAGCGTATTCATTATAGAAATTTTCTTTCTTGTGCGTAGATGTTTAGACTCACCTTCTCTCAGCGTCACCATATAATAAGATTCTTTGCTGGGCTGACTTTCTCCTATGGAATTGACGGCTAACACTCGAAAGGAATAAACCGTATACGGTTGCAATCCGATCACCTGATAGTTCGTTTGATTATCGCCCGTAACGATACCGTTGAACAGGTCCCATTCTCCCTTCTCTCCGACCCTACAACACAGATATAATTCCGTTTAAATTATTTAATTTAACTTTAAAACAAATTCTAGAAATCAATAAAAATTATTACACTTAACGACTCCCGACCGGCCGGTCGGGAATCCTTACAATTTTTACGTATCGCCAGCTTTTCGGAGTTATGGTGGCCCGGACCACGCGGTCTTCCGGGCCTTTAGCGCTTTAAAAAGACAAAAGAGTTTTAAAATTCGTATTATATATATTTTTAACGACAAAATTTAGGGAATAGCCTTGGCTTTAGAGGCCCGGATCGAACCGACCGGCCCCCGTCGATAGGACGACCGAAACGAACCGAAAAAAAACCTTAAATTACGAAAACTTTTTTTAAAAGTCAAAGAAAAGTAGCCGTTTAAAGAGCGCCGAATAGCTGGCAATTTCTTTGATTATTTATTTTATAAATTAATTTTTTACATCGAAGATAGAAGAATGTCGTATTTAGTTTATATTTTCGCCACCGGGTTCGAATTCCGTTCCGTTCTTAACGGCGACTTATAATCGGGCCTCTAACGCGTAAAATATAGAATTTCGAGGTGGAGCAACGACGATCGGGCGGGCGATGGCATCCGATTCCTAATAAATTCTCGTCCGAGAATAATTCGACTGATTTCGGCTCGGCCGTAAGAAATTTGCAATTTATATAATTCCGAACTGGCGTACGGAAACAGACTACAGATTACGGGGGTCGGACACGTGAAAAGAAAACGTGCGGAACGAATAGATCACTAATTGTTGCCAGGAACGATTTGTCGTCGTCGCACGCAACGTCACGATAAGTGGGGTTTCCGCGTCACGAAGAAATTTCCACCGATTCGTTTCTCGGCCGGCAGATGGCGTTAATTGCCGGGGCCGGGACGAAACGGTCGAGAGCCGAAAAATCCTATTATTATTTATTTACTTAATGGCAAAGTATTCAAATATTTTATCGTGAATTACGCGCGCGCGCATTCAATAAACTAGTTTGGGTGCGACGCCCGAGGGTCTTTAACGAGACGGATAACACCGGCCGGCCACCAGACGTCCATTTGCCTACAAACCGGAGTAAGTCGAGGAGGCGCCGACGGTGGGTCGCCATGGTAACGGCGGCCGCGGATTCCTCGACTCGACGGATTTCGTCCGCCATCTTGTAAATATAAAATAGATATATATATATATTTTAAAAAAGAAAGAAAACGGGGAAAAAGTCTAAAAGACGAGAAAGCTTTTCTTTAAAAAGCGCGACGAAATTACTCGGCGCGGCGTTAGGAACGACGCATTTATTTCCCAACGCGTTATTTTTTAATATCGGAATTGAATAAGGAGAACCAAAAGAAAAGAGGAAGAGAGAAAAGCGGATTGTTCTGTCGGAACGGCGGACGAGGCCGATCGATTCGGATTCCGGATCGGAATCCGTCGCATCACTCTCCCTCCAGCCGCGCAACCGGGCGTTACGTCGAGGAAGAAAATATTCCGACGTCCCAAAGAAATCTTACGATAAATTCGAGGAGGACGGGAAAATTCCGTAAGGAAATCGCAAACTCTCTCAACAACAGAACGAACTTTAATCGTCGCGATTACTTTCCGTCGAGCGGGGGAACTGAAACTTTTCTGTCCAGAAGAGAATTTTTAAAAGCAGATTTTGTAGCGTTAATACCGTCAGAAGCGGGTAAACTTTCCATTGGACATAAATCGGACCGTCGTCGGAGGGGACGCGAAGGGGCGGAAACGGAATAGGTTAAAAAAAAGATCTTACCTGACGTGGACGACGTAGTGCACGATGGGACTGTAATGGGTGTCGATGCTGGGCGCCCACGAAAGATTGACCGATCGCGAGGTAAAACTCATGATCAGCGGCATTCCGGGAGGGTCGGGCACGTCTGCAAAAACAAAGCGGCAAATATAGTCAAAGGCGATAAAATCCGACGGACGGAGGACGTCCGGCGATAAAAGAGACAGAGTGGAATCGCTTATCGATTTCGTTTTTACTTTATCGACCCGCTAGAGGTTCTTACGCCACTAAAAGAAAGGGAAGAAACCGTTTAAGCCAGGGCCTTAGAATTTCTCGGGAGCCTGGACGATAATCGTCAGTAAGAAGGCCGCCACGCCCATTTTAAAAAAGGCCCGGGCAACGATGCGGCACGCGCGACTCGGACGCGACGCTCGGTCCGAGCGTCGCGGCCGAGTCGAGTGGCTGGACGGACGGGCCCGGAGGACGACGGCTCCGGGCTAACCGGGAGGAGGTGGGTGGTGGCCGGCAAAACCCCCACACCCGTTAAATGGACCGGCCGAGTTTCCGGCCCTAAAATGGCCGAATATAAATTACCGTTTTCTTCTATTCCGGCTTCTAAAGTCGTTTCGAACGGGGCTAACGCCCGCCGCGCTCTCCGGACCCGTTCGGAATAACGGATTAGTCTGGCGATTACGTAGGGTTTCCGTAAAATCCGTCGACGGAGGCTCCATTCGGGGTTCTCTTCACAATATACTTAAACGGCTCTTCTCCCTTCGGTTTGCCCGGCTAATTTCGTTACGGAACCGCTACCCCACCGAACGGAAGATCGTCCTACGTCGTTTAAACGCGTGAGGACGGAGTCCGCGCCATGGGTTTCTCCGTGCCAAAACACGGGTCTGGGCCGTGCCTCGGTTCTTAAAAGATTAAGATTTTTCTCTTTAAATCGACTCTAGCTCGTTCCTAAAGATATTTCGCGGTGGTAGAACGGTACGACTTTGGAACTGAACGGCCAAAGACGAGAACGGCGTCTTTAAAACTCTGCATCCGAAACTTTCGTAAACGGATTCGTAAATTCTACGTCGCCGACTTTCCCGCTCTCCTATTTCATCGGATTAAAAAGAGAGAGGACAAATACATTTTCTATCGGTCGAGTTTGTAAACCATTTATCCTCTTTTCCGTACGGAGAATCCTCCCTTCTTCTTCCAAAGGCTAATAAGTCTTACCTAAAAGCTTCGACCGGCGGCGAATTTCCCGAGGGGTCGAATAGGACGCGTCTTTCGTCGACGGTGTCTCCTTTTACCATATTAAACGTTTAAAACGGAGTTTATTTACGTTGTCTTCTATCGAATCAAAAAATATATAGGAAGAATCGGCAACTCCGATTCTTCCTATATATTTAATATATAAAATATATAAAATAACGGTAAAGCCGGGTGGTTTTACGCCCGTATTAAAACTGTGCAAAAGCGAATTTTTATACTCGGTTCGATTCGTAAGTAGGACGAGTCGTGTCGATAACTGAGAAAGAACATAAAACCCGGTCCGGGACTCGGATATCGATTGAAGGAAAATTCGAAAGACGGGAAATGTGGCTACTCGGGATATGACTCATTCTACTTAAAGCGCGGACGGGAAAACGAATACGTCGTAATGAATGGAGGTTTGGGAAAACGTCCGGCTCGTTGTTATAAACCAAATGGAACGCCGCCGTATACAAATTCTCGATTTTATGCCGCAGTTTTCCTAAGACAGACAGACAAAAACGAATACAGAACATTTTTTTTTCCAATACTATTTCGAAACGAGAAGATATTCCATGTCGTTATAAAATCCTACCAGATAAATTCCTACCGAAAGATAAATATACTGGATGTTCACTTCGACGTTTATTCGGGGTAGAAGAGATCTTTTCGGTACTGCGGGAGTATATTTGTAGTCGGGGTGCTTTAGTTTCTCTGCAACGTTTACACCAAAATGAATTAATTCGTTCGAAAAGAAACAAAACGTGAAAAATCGCGCGGAAGTTTTGTGGCAATACTTACAGTACATTTCTCAAACGTAGGAACAAAGTGCAAATTAAAAATGCGATGTTCACAAATCGTGTGACGACACGCGACGCTTATAATAGGGCCGATATTACGCAGTCTACTAATCGGTAATACACGGTGGCAATGCCTTATACCGTGAAGTGATTTTATGTTACGAGGAAACGAAACGAAATGTGCAGTAAGCGGCGTGTATCTGGATTCCTCTAGCATTTTCCGGCTGCACCGAGAACGAGACGTTTTCCACATATACTGTAGCCAAATAGAACTAATCGTTTTTGTAGTAATTAGTTTTCCATTAATTAGTTTGATATTCCATTAGTGTACGTGTTGAAGAGACAAAAGAAATACACAAAACGACGACCCGAAAAATTGACCGTTTTCATTTTGTATCGCTTCGAAAACTTTCTGGGCTCAAAACGATCCCGAGGTACCCGACAACTGTTAATTCTAATTATTTATAGAATTAATTAAATTACGAAAACGTAGCTAAGGAAAAAGGATTATCGTCTTCGGTATTTAATTAAGTATTAATTTTAACAAATAGCATTGCGGTAAAGGTCTTTTTATGCGCGGATACTCGAGGGTGAACGGTTGCTATTCTCTAAGCGAATTATTAGCAATTTATATAAGTAATTTTGTGACTACCGTCTCGTTAAATCAAAATATCTATAGACCTTTCTCCTATCGTTAAACCGCATTATTCCCGTTACAACAATACGCGTTGGAGTTTTTATTCATTAATAAATACAGTGGCGACCGCCTCTCCTCCCAACCAAATCACGTATGGCAATACAAATATCTAAGATTCTCGTCCGACAACGCATCCTAAAATCGCTCAACTAAAGAAATTTCTATCGGCCATTTCTATGAATATAATTAAAATATTTTCTATCGCGGAATTAATTTTTAATTATTTACTTTCGAAAGCGAATCGGCCTGTAGTACGAACCTTACGAACATTTTATACGTATAATATAGGCTAAGTTAAATGTAAACAGACTAAATCGCGAGAGGTTCGGCTTAATTACGAATTGACAATTCACTTACATTCGTTAATCCGGCAAGAAAATTAGCACGGCGATTTCTTTAAATATATTTAACAATTAACGCAGTTTTAAAGCCGTTAATTATTAAATAACTCGATAGCAAAACGGCCAGGACAATCGATATAGAGACGGCCGTATTTTCCGTTAAATCATTTTAGATAAGGTGACCGGATGATTTTTATTCGTAGATTTCGTCGACGATAAAATAAAAAAAAAATAATAAACGATACCGGAATTGCCACTGACGGATTCTCGTTATTTATATAAGCGACGTCTCCGACGGAATCACGCTTTCCGCGCGCGGTCGACATATTTTTTCCCAAGGAAAATAAATACAGTACGGAATAAAGTAAACACACGGATTTACCTCGAATCTATTAAATAACAGAAGTTACTTTCCGCCGGGGTGGAAAGTAACTTCTGTTATATGGAAGAGGAACGGTTTTGCCCCGTTCCTCTTCCACGCCACCTTTCAACTTTCCAAGAGTTATTTTATAAATTATTTTCGAAGCGAATCATTTCTTTCTCGTAATTTCGAAATATTTGATACTTTTTGAAATTATTTCTTTAAAAACGGACTAAAGAAAGTCGCTTTTTAAAACAGGAGCGCGTAACTTCCCTCCGGGCCGTTACTATTAACATTTAATATATTTTTAATCGCTTAAAATCGGTACGATTTAATTAATTTATAAAAAGGAAAAATATTTTTTCATATTTTGATAAATCGGACATTGATTAAATGGAAAAAGATACCGTAGTACGGGTATTACACCCCACTCCAAACAATTCCGTTTGATTTGTTTTTAATTCGTCGGAATGCGATTATCGCGCGTTGGAGATATTCGATAGGCAGCTTGGCAATTTCTAACACCGGTGAATATCTTTGCCGAGGATGCGTAATCGATACGCCATCCTCGTCCGCTACAATCGATTAGATCCGTAAGTGGTACGCGGTCTTGGCGGATTACGGAGGATTAGCCGCGACTGTCCAATCTGCCGAACGTAGAAAGAAACAAAAACAACACCTTTTATAAGTCGAGTCGCGGATTAAGCAAAACGGATACGAAACGCCGTCGATTCTGCACAATTCTCCGGCGGCTGCCAGGGGCCGCTAAGCGTATAAGCAAACTGGCGCCTTTTGCTTGGCAATAAATTTAGAAACAAAAATCCTGCGGCTTATTTTATCCACCCAAAAACGCCAACGAATGTAAGGGACGACGAAAAATTTATTTCATTTTTTTTTTTATTAAAATAACCAATGTATTCGAAACCAGACGATGATAAAAATTTTAACTATTCGACTTTAAACGGTAGTTATTTTTATAAACATACTACGTATTATTTTAATTAACTATCGTTTAAAGATAAATATTTTCAATTATTACCTTTGACCTGTTTCAAACATCAGTTATGAATAAAAAACAAAAATAAATTTTCCGTCTACATACAGCGTGGATGTTTTTTGGGAGCGACGTAACTATTTCTTAGTCGTTCGTCATCTTCGGGCCTTTCACGTCGTACAAATAGTATTTATTTTTCCAACAAGAACATTAATACCCATCAGAATAATGTGCAAACGAGGATCGCGGATGGAAAACGTTAACGATACCTTACGAAAATAAGAAATTATTCATTTTAACGAAAAAGTAATTTTAAAAAATCCGCGGATGGTCGAAAACGAAACGATTTTTCCAACTAGTAGTAACGTCGAGGCGCCTCCGGTGGCAAACGCGCGAAACTTGCACCAACCACCTGAAAAATTGTAGCGAACGGGCGACGAACGAAAAATAGCGAATTGCGGCCGAAGTTTTCATCCGTAAAACGTGACGCTCGACGTTCGACGTTCACGTTTTAGAGACGGAAACTTCGGCCGCAATTCGCTAATATTCTAACAGTTGGTATTCGGACGGACGGTAAAGTTTAGCGGCGAAAGAAAAAACTGTGAACCGAGAATGGCGTCTGTCGCCACCCCGAGGTTGGAATTTGCGGCCGAAAAAGCGGGTCAGAAGCGAAGGGAGGCGCGGAGTAATTTATAACCTGCGTAGAAGAGAACGTCCGCCTACCGGTAGCCGGTGCCGGCTACCGGAGAACGACCCGAGAAAGGTCGGTATGGCCTTAATCGCCGGTCCGCGGGCGCCTCCGGGGAGGATCCGACGCCGGGTGCGGTCGCCTACCGAGAAACGATAAGGTCGGTGGCTACCGGCCAGGGTCGGAGGACGCGCGTTTTGGCAGGCGCGCGAGAACGTGCCGTCTGGCGGCCCACGCACTAAATTAGGACGGACCAGAGCGGAGAAGGTAGCCGCCGAGTCGGGCGGGCGGGGAATACGCGCCGGTTCCTCCGAACGGTAGCGTTGGGTGCCGCGGCGCGCCGCATAACACGAGTGTTTGAAGGCGTTCCTTTGGCAAACCCACCCGACCGGTTTTAGCCTCGTTCTTTTTTATTAACCGCGGTCGGAGAACTCGTCCCTGGGCTCTGGACGCGGCCGGGGTGACGCTCTATATAATAAGGCCCACCGACGTTTACGGGTTTTTCCGGCCGCCAGACCGACTTCTTTTACTTTTGTTTTCTCCTCGGAATGTCGGGAAATATGTTTCTAGAATACATCGAAAGTGTTTCTAAAATTTCCATCCCACTCCGTATTTATTTACTTGAAATTTAAGTACGTTTAATATATTTCCTTCGGAACGTTAAAAATGCGCCAAAGCGATTCGAAAAACCGTCTCGGACACTCGCGCGTTCCTTTAGGAGTTCGATGTCCGACGAGTCGACGAATGGGATTTTACTACCCGCGCTTAGAAAAGGGCGACGGAGGGTGTGACGTAGCTTCGGAAAGCGAATCGTGACGCACGCCTTCGACCTTCGAAACCCTTAACTCGGTTTCGACGCGGGTACGCCCGACTCGGCCACGGGACGCGGTAGAAGATAGCGTGGGACGACACCGACGACGGGAAGGATGTTATTTGGGAGGAAACGAAAGACTGAGGCGAATGCCCCGTAATCGTTCCCGTCGGTACGGATCGTTTCGTCGCTCTCCGACGGAAGTTTTAAAAACTTTCGGACGCCTTTTCGGTACCGCGCGGCCACCCCGTCCACCGCCCGCTCCCTTCGCTAAGTAAATAGACCGGTCCCCGTCAACGCGCGTTTTTACGGCCCGGCCCGGATTTGCCAAACCAGGGGCGAACTCGGCCCGGTTAATCGATCGGAATGGTCGCGTAACTCCTGCCCCAACTCGACCGATCGAGTTTCGTAGGAATAAAAATAACGCCGCGATTTGCTCTAATTTTTCTTAAAAGACGTTCTTCGGTAACTAAGCGCCGGCGCTGCAATTTGCACCGTTTTAGCTCGGCGCTCGGTGGTAAAGGGTCGATGCCTCGCGCCGTCCGTACCTCACCTTTGGTTTTTTCCTCGAACTCCGCCCGATAATCTTTCCGCGTTTTAAGCTTTAATCGTATTTCGTGGAAAGTTTATTTAGAGCGCGCCAACGGAAAACTTATCGGCCGGAGAATCGATGCCGTTTCTCTCTCACCTAAAGTTACGAGATGCCGAATTTCTCGCGAGTATTCTAATTTTCTCAGTTATTTATAGTCCCGTATCTAGACGGCGAAATATAAAAGAAAACCCATGACGCAACGGCTCGGTCACGCGTCGGAACTCCACCCTGGCGATTCCGGTCACGCGAGTACCTCGAGAACGACGCGCGCGGCATTCGACCCCTATTTTGAAATTTTTCCCATTAACCTATCTCTATCGATTTATTCGCCGAGTGTCCGACGCCGATCTTTAAAGCTCAAAATCCGCTACCCATTTATGGGTACATTACTCGCGCAACTAAGAAAGAAAGAAGGCGAAAGGTTTACCTTGCACGAAAAGACGCACGGTTCCGTCGTTATTCCTGCGTCCGTCGACAACGCACCGGTATTCTCCGCTGTCCTCGTAGATCACCGGTTGCAGGTACAGAGCGTAACTGTCCTGGAGGAGCGAAACGTGAGGTTCGGCTTCCCACACGGTCCTTCTGTCCTCTCGAAGTTCCACTATCTTCTTGTATTCCTTCCACCATTCTAGTCGTCCGACCACCTCCGCGTTCCCCGCCGCGGTGCAAGGCAGAGTTGCATTGTTGCCGGCTCTGACATACACTTCTTTCTCGCCTGAAAGAGAAAAAATTCGTGCAATCTTACGTTAAAACGAGTCGCGGCAACTATTAAAGATGGGGACGCGACGCGACAGAAAACGGAGATTTACTCGCCGGACGTGTTAAAAACAAAAATAAATAAATCGTAGGAGATGTTCCGACCGTTCTTAAACTCGGACGAATGAGTTCCGTCGAGTATATCCAGCCCGCGCGACTGGTTACGCAACGCGATTGGTGTTTATGGGAAAGAATTGCCTTCCCTTCTTTTTTCGGCAAGTCGGCAGATTCGAAAAATGCCTCGGATATATTTTTAAAAATCAAAATGGAAGGTCTTTCCGAAACTTAGCCCGAGCCCTTTTCGCTTATACGGTATAAACGCGTGGCAATTTTGGCTTTGTAAGCGGACGTAGCGCTTTGAATGTTAAAAAAAAAAGAAGAAAACAGTTTGCGTTTCTCGTATTACTAACGATTTGGATCTTCTACCAAAAAACAAAAGATCGCGTGAGGAATTCCTGGCATTTTTACGTTTTCTGTATAAGCCGGAACGATTTGGTCGTAAATTAATGCGAAGTTAAATTCCGAGCGGCACCGACGTAATAAATGCGCGACGGTAAGTGTTTACGAACGACTCCTAGAGGTGACGTAATTTTAAAGTGAGCCGACGGCGGGAGGAGTCCGAACGGGGTACTTTACGATTACTTTCTAACGCGGCACGTACGGCAATTAGACACGTTTGGACAGACGAAAGCGTTTTCTTCGTAAATACTAATATTTAAGCTCGATGTCCGTAAAATAACTTAATAGGAAAAATTGAGGAATTCCTCTCGAAAGGGGTCTGTCAAAAATGAATGTATTTTTCTTGTGGAATGCGTTGTATACGAGTGGCGACTAACTGTAAACAAAGAGGTCATTTGGAATAGCTGGGTTTTTATTATTTAACCTTCGAGATTAACGCGCAGGCAACAAAAACTAGCGGGGCGCGAAATCGTTACTTAAAATTATCGAACGAAATTGCATCTTATAAATTCGTATATTTTTCGACAATAACTTAATAACTAATCGATATAATAATACAGTTAGAACGCGCATACCTGTGGCTTCGCAATCCGTGCCGAAAATCGTTTACGGGGGTGACAAAAAGGTAAAAAATGCACTCGCTACGTCGACGTTTTGGATGCTACTGAGGCGAGTGCGGTCTAGCGGGGAGGAACGTTCTCTCGAGGGGCCGCTAGCGGTCTTATTATTACCAATACAAACGAAACATAGTCGAGGTTAGGAACGGGTTATTAAGGAACGTTTGTTAAAACCAACTTGGATTTTAGCCCTAATAGAAAAATACATTTTTGTCGTCCTAAATAGGTCTAATTGCCGTACGTGCGCCGTTTCTGTTACCGGCGGCGGATGGCGGGACCACCCCGACGATTCGGCGGTTAATAAATCCTGCGTCTAAAAAACCACACGAATACGTTTATCGGCGCGTAATATTTTATGCCAAAAAGAAAATGCGCATTTCCGCTTACGTAAAATAAAGATTTCTATTAAGAAAACTGCGCGAAAGAAAATTTTCTCGTCTCGAGGACGTCGACAGAGCTACGAGCAGAGTTTTTGACACTAAAATCCGAAAACCAAGCCGTTCCTTTAAAGAAATACAACGCGTTCTAACTGCGGGTTATTCGATTGTTTGCCGACCGAATAAATCCGTATCCGTTATAAGCTTAAATCGAGCGATACGTTTCCGGCGTTAAAAAATAAATAAAATCTGACCCGAAGGACGAGTAATTTAATTCCGAGCCTTAACTTACGACCACGTGATTAGAAACAGATCTCCTTCGTCGGGCAGAATTTTACCGCTTCTAATCTCGGTTCGTGACGTCGTAAATCAAAAATAAAAAATGTCGGATATATTTTTTTTCCTTTTACACAAAATTCTGTTTACACAAAACTCTGTTAACTCCGTCACGTGACCGTAAGCTACACGAACTATCCGAATACGAGTTATCGAAATAAGAACGAGGTCAAACGTATTTAATAGATGAACTTAGCGATTATCTTTTTGTTGTTTTGTTTTATATTATTTTATTTCTTATGTAGGACGTACGAAAAACCCGATTTGTAAGTCGTAACATTATACCATTCTCCTCGAGTTTATTTCTTCCATCGATCGGACGAAAAATTTAATACCATAATTTTCGTATACTTTTAGCGATAAATTCCTAATCGAAAAAAGTTTAATATACGTAACAAACACGGATAAAATCGCATTCCGTCGTTGACCAGAGAACTTGTCGCGCTTCCTTCGGGAGGGTCCGAGTTCGTGTCCACTCGAGCGAATTACGTTCTTATTCCTCTGTAGGGCCTCTGGCGGACAACGGACATCCACCCTCCCACACAGACGGCTTTGAAAACTAAACCATATTCTAAAGCGTATATGGCCAATAATATGAAATCTAATTTTATAGCCTTTATACGCGAGGGAGGGCAATAATTAACCGAAACTCCTGGTTGATAAAATAAAAATTAATATAAGTTATACATATACCGTATATTCGTCTTAATTTTATCAATCGACGAAACAATTAGTTTTCGCGCCTCCTGGCGGATAAAAATTTGAAAAATTAAATGGAACCGTGGAATTTCCGAAAAGAAAAATCGAAATGTATCGATTCGCTCGTACTATATTTCCTTTCGAAAAACATAAAGATTCGCGTTGCAAAGTCGGCTGACAAATTTTAATTTTTTTCAATTCTGGTAAAAGTTCAAACGTCAGCAGACGATAACGCTAGATTCGCCGACTACGAAAAATTCGCTTATTTTATATGCCGAATGCAATTGTGTTGCGGAGTTTCTTCTTCTCGTTCGTCGATATATAGAAAAAAATAAAATAAAAATAAAAAAATCGGCGACAACCTGCAGGTAAGAAAATGGAAAGATGGAAGAAGACGGACTGCAGAAATAAATCGATAAATCGATCAATCCGATGTTTATGGTCCGCCATTCACCGTTTTTATAATCCCGACCAATCGAGATAGCGGTTATTAACGGTAAGTGGAGAAGGAGAAAACGGCGATTTCTTCGGTCTCCTTCGCTATTTAAGAATTAAAGGGGGGAAAAAACCATCTTGGCTAAATTATTTTCAGAAATTAATTTTAATCTTTCGGATGCAATTTTCGATTATATTTTTTTTTTTTCGAAAACCATTACGTAAAATGACGTAATTTCTCATTTAATGAACGCATCTAGTCGATGACGTCACGTTTTTCGTTTAATCTCGAAACGGCTAATTAAGAAATATATAATTTAACAAAATAATTTTTGAATTTTGTTCTATTCATAATTTCGTTGGGATGATAACAGGTTTGCATTTAAGAGAACAAAAAAATTCAAATATTTCCTTTAACGTCATTTCAAGCGTGACATTAAAAAAAGAACGAGTGAAACTTATACCGTTTTTCTCCTCATTAGACCGAAAAATATCTATAAAAGACATTTAGGAAATCGAATTTTCCTGGCTTTTTTCTGGACGATTGCAATAAAACATTTCGTTTAAACGATTCTCATAATTCACAAATTTCCTACGAAATCATCTCGGAATTTCTCGTTCCCACTAACGAGACGAGACGGCAAATTTTTTCGCGTGATGTCACTAAGTGCGCGCACTCGTAATTTGTCAATTTGAATTTTTAAATTATTTTTGAGAATTGCCGAGTACGCCGGCTTTTCGATTTTGAATTTTTCATTTATATTTTAAAGAATGTCGTGTCCGAGTATCCGATGCGCGCACGCACTCCAATATTTACGCTTCGTTAACTCCGAAACTTCGGAAGATTTGCCTTAATTTTCGGGCATTGGTGCGTCCTGTCGTCATATCTAGAGCAATATCTAAGCGCGGTTTTTTCTTAACTGTTTGCAACAAGACTTATAAATGAAAACCCGGCAGAGTCACGTATCGGTAGATAAGAACGTCGTCAATTCTGGCTTGGGTTAAGACCGAAGAAGCAAAATAAATAGGAAAAACACATTTGGGGTGTTTTTAAGACAAAGTTTTGAGGAAGTTCGATATTTTTCCTGCCATGTAATATAAAGTGGAGGCAAGGAACTGCCGTGGCGCCGTCTAGCTGGAGCAACGAGTCGGATCAATAATGGGTCAAAGGAAAGGACAAAGAAGGGGAAAGTCTAAAGCTTTTCACGGCGAAGGGGATCGGTTTGTGTCTGTCTCATTTCCTATGTTTTCAAATCGACGTCCTTCGGAGTTGTTTCCACAGTTTTTGTTTACGTTTTCGTCCAACCTCCATCGTGTTTCCTCCTCCAAACTCTCTCCCTTACTTCTCGTAAGACGTAAATAATTTCCGGCATCGTAGATACATTAAAGATCAAAACCGGCGCTGGAAATGCTCGAAATAGATTTTAAAATGTATTTAGAATAAAATATCGATCGCTTAACTAAGCTAAGACGTTCCGAAATTGCTCTTTAGAAAACTTGAGGAAGGAGAGGGGAAAAAAATGGCAGAAGAGATCCCATTACGTAGGCAAAAAACGATAGCGAAAAGTATTAAAATTCAGACGAAATAAAACGTATCGATAAAAAAAGGTGGTATCAGCGAATAGGATCAATGAATGTTTCTCGAAAGATAAGAATACACATCGGTAAAAAAAATATATATATATATATATAAGAAGGGGGAAAATATCAACGAACAATTAGTTGAAAGCGTCCACTCGAGAGTTGAAACATCAATTATCGCTATCTGAAGCCATGCCGAAAATTATTTCTTTTTTCCTTCGCTCTTTTTAATTTCTGAAATTATTATTACATCGACTGAAATACTATATTTTGCGATAGTACAAGTACCGTTTTATCCGGAAAATACATTCATTAAACGGAAAATACAATCGATTCTTCTAGTAACTCGTTGCTAGATGCCAACGCATCCATACTAATAATTTTCGTTATAAAGCACCTCGTTATAAGAAGAAACAGTGGGTGAATTTATAATAAGAAACTAAAATAACCAATTGATATATATATATACATATATATTAATAGTAAGCGGAAGCCGAGCCCTTGCTAATGACGACGACCGTGACTAAATTAAAAACTTGAACCAATTTATCAGAATGATTCTACCTCTAATTACTGAAAGGATTCGATAAGATCTTCCACGAACTAAAATTAAATCAATACAGCAGAGTTTGCTTAACGGTAGGATTAATTCGGTCTACGGTAACAACGTAAAAAATAAGTCGCTTCCAGTAACAAATTACAATATAGATATTTGAAATGGACGGGCATTTACGTGTATTACACCTTCAAAAATACCCCGAGTGAGTAACAAGCAATTAAAAAGGTTTTTCTTTTTTTCGTTCTACAGGCACCCCAGTTAGTACGTTAACAAAGAGACCCCTGTGCGTATAGTAAGGAAGTCGAAAAGCGCGTTACTACCACATCCGCTCTAACATTAATACATTTTTCTTCGCCTTATTTAAAATAGCGCATCTAATTAACAGATTTCGATTGCCTCCCGTCGCCCCGTTAACAGTATAATTTTGCTGAGCGGAGCGTAGCAAAACTGGGATCTGTTACGGAATAAATAAATAAATACCTTTAAGAAAAATATTTCTCTAGACAGCCGTTACGAAGATTCTTTTTCTACGGTTTGGTAAAAAAAAAATATCCGAAAGGAACTATCGAATTACGTAACTCGATTGGTTTGATAGGAAAATTAAGAAAAGCGACGGAGTGGTCGAGATCTTAATGAAATCGAAAGCGTTTCCTTTGTGCGGGGCCGTCGGAGTGGATAAAGATATTGAATGTAATATACGATTGCTGGCCGGCAATAAACCGACACAAGTGCAAGATTTTCAAATACCATTAGGGAATCGACACGCCTAAATATATGCAAATTCATCTAGCAATATCGGTCCGTTCAACAGACCTCCCTCTTTTTAATCGACTGGTCCAAGTCGAAACAGGTTGCATTGGCGTTTCTTTCACCCTACATACGAATTTAATACCTCGAGACATAATTTCAATTGAAAAACGGGATATTTTTAAAAAAGATTAAAGCCAGCGTCGGATCTTTTTGATTTTTCATCTAGACCAGAATAATAAAACTGTGCGCGACCTACAATACTAAATATGTTAGCAGAGTTAAGAAAATGTCTTGGATAACTACGGCAGGACGTGCGGTACCGAGCTCTACAAAAAAAAAATATATATATATATAACTTTTTCGACAGAATAATTAGCTGCAGCGACATGTGAAATTCCTTTTATAACACTTCAACCATTCCTCAAAGTGCAGCGATTCAGAAATTCTTGAAAAAACAGGAAGTCGTCCAACGATGTGTAACAGATTACACCGACGGAGGCCAAAATGGAAAAGTATCTTAAAACAGGAAAATTTCGCATGGAGAACCCTGTCTTTTACGGTGTTAGGGATTGAGTTCCGGATGGTTGAAGGGAGATGGCATTCTTTAGAATTTAAACGTTTCTACTGGAACTAAAATCATCACGCCAGGCTGAGTCGCCGTTTCGTACAGATGACCGCCAAGGCCAGGCCATGCGACCATCTGTGTATCCTGCTGGAGAAGGAGATTAAATGTCGCCCTTATCGTATATACAGATTCTCACGAATAAAAGCATGGGTTATTGGTATGTTTTCTCGGGTTTTTCCAAACGCCTACGCCCAATCTTTAAATGGAAAAAAGTGCGATTAAACGTAACTCACCTCGATAGGCATCCAGACAATACCGGATCGTAAGTAGGTAACAAAAAGCGATCCATATATTAACTTGTCCCTTCATTCTGCGTCGATAACAGAAGTCATCTTACACTAAACCACACCGATGCATCGAAGATAGTGGCCGTACGATACATCCCCCCGTCACACGTGCCGGAGTGTAGAGTGACAAAACAGGTAGCACGGGTAATACACCTCCATCGGGGGCTCCGCACTTATCCCAGAGTATAACATAAGCGGCGCACTAATTGTATTTTCCAACGTCCCGCGTCGATACGAATTACCTCTGTGTTCGATCCCGATGCCGATTCATCAGAAACACTCGTTCGCGGCTTATCTTAATAACAGACGCCTCTCGTCTCTCCGCTATCCTCCACTCGACTGCCTGTCAATCTCCTCTTCTGTCAAACGACATCTATCGGTCATTAACAGTACTAGCATTAATATTTTATGACGTCAGCTGTTTTTATTGCGGGTAATTAAACCATTTTCTTTTTAATAATTCCCAATCTAATACATTTTTATCAATTCGTTTTCCAACAAATTGCTTAATTATCAGCGCATTTGCCGTTTACTTCACCCGAAAAACTAATATTTTATTCAATTCTTTTAACAGCCGATTAAAACATTTTAAAACTTATTAAAAAGCAAAATTATAAAAGATTTTTTCCGTATTTAATAAATTCGATTTCCATTATATTAAAGAGAAAGACGTAATTTACAATTTGGCATTTTGTAATAATTTCCAAAGAAAAATTTAAATGAGTTTTATATACAAAATAAAATTCGAATTTTTATACATTTTATTTTATTTTTAATTTATTAAATAAATTAAGTAATCTTTAAATTTATTTTTAAAAAAAAGTTTATTTCATTTCTGCGTGGCGCCATCTAGCGATTAATAGTGACATTTTTTGTTTATTTTTATACTCTTAAATTTAAATAAACAATAAATAAGTAATTAAAATTTATTACAACGATTCTTAAGTAGTCAAAAATGACATTTTAAAACGAAGTACGGAACGAGGAACGTTTCTAACGTAACAACGATACGTCACGAAGCGACGGAAACACCTTTAGTCTCATTCAAAATACATTTCGATGGCATAAAAATTATATTATTAGAAACTTTTCTAATTTCCCTTTTCGTAATGTCATAAACGGAAACGGTTGGAAGCGTAAAAGCAGAGAATTTGATTAATAAAGAGCGGAAATGGTAGGACGAAGCTAATTAAGACCACTAAACACGTGTTTCGTTCGCTTATTAAATATTAAACCTTTTAAATAATAATAAATATTTACAATAATTCTAGAAATTATTTTAAATTTAATTTGGAGATATTCCAGAGATAATGTTCTACAAATAATTAATATCTACAAAATATATTTTGTATACCGTATTTCTCTATTATACTATACAGTTGACCCCTCCTATAATACTGTTGATAATTCCGTTTTATATGAATTCCATACGTTGTACGATTCACTTAAATTTTACAAATACGTGTGCCTGGCTGCGAACGGCTCACGTATTTGTAAAATCTAAGTGAATCGTACAACGTATGGAATTCATATAAAACGAAATTATCAACAGTGTTATGGGGGGGGTCAACTGTAATTTAGTATTCTCGCGTATACTAAAACAAATACGGTATATAAAATGGCTATTTATACTGTAGTTTAATAAATTACGTGTAAAATTCCGTAAGTAAAGTCGGCTACATTAGAATTGATTGCAGATAAACATCAGACGTGTTCGTAACTGTATTTATAATTGTGTCATGCAATATCGTGTCTTACATGTTGCGTGAATAATGAACACGAGTGAGAATCGTGCTCTTTTTTTCTATGTTATAATCAACCGATTTCCCTTCAATTGCCGTGAATGATTACTTGTCACAGCTCTCTCCAATAGTCTACCGATACTTATTATTTTAGTATTATATCGTAGAAATTATTCGTTATTTTTTTTAGTAAAATAATATTGTAATGTTGCATTCATACCACTTTAATATATAGTAGATCACGCTTTTGCTGGAGAGCTGTGGTAAAGTCAGCCGTCCTCTTTCTTATAATTTTATAGTTGTTGGCCGAGATTGTGTTCCTAAGAGTATACTTTTAATTATATAATAATACAGCGAAGTGGTCGGTAAATCACAGTACACTTTATACAGTTGTTACGAAAAATTTATACTGTCGTAAAACAGGGAAAGCGATCGGTCGTAAACCGGGGTATAATGTAATGTTTAATATTATGCATTTCCTTTCTATTTTTCTAAGTAAATCGAAATAATAGTATATGTAATGTTGTATATAATACTTATGTAACTATAACTATATTATACAAGTATTTTTTTCTCATATTTTTTGGAAAAATCTTTAAGAAATGCCACGAATTCCACGGTCTCTCTCGAAGTCGTCTCGAAAAACTAAACTATTGGCAAATGACATTTTTATTTTAATTTAACCAAACGATTTTGAAAATTATTACGAATCTTCTATTCTTATTACGTAAGTATTCTGATGTCAACATTCCATTCTAATAAGAGCGCTATCGACTAAATGTGACAATGGCCGGGGGCTCCGTCTCCTTAGGGGCCTCGTCTCACTGCTTTATCACTAGTAAGTTACGAATTATTCCATCTTTGTATTTGTATAACGTGTTAAAGAAATTGGGCCAAGAAGTTCAAAAATAATTAAAATACCTGCTTCAGATCTCTTAATCGAAACTCGCAATACCCGCACTCGGTAGAACTTACGTTACAAATACTATTAGCCTACAGAATATATGTTAGAACCATACGCGACTAACTTTAAATTTTGCATTTTTTCAATAATAGAGTATTTGTATTAAATTAAATACCTTCTGTTTGGAACCAAGCAGATACGCAAATTTCCAAACGGTTGCATAAAATAGCAAATGTTTGGTGAGCAATCAAAGATTGGTATCCAAATTTCAAATCTCATAGCGCTGGGCCTACGGGGAAAAGAGAACAATTGCCTAGGGCCCCCACCAACAGAGGTCCAAACCAGTCTTTTATAAACCCATTACTGTACTAAGAATATCAAAATTTAAATTAAAAATTATATTTGAAATTCAATTAGACGAAAAAATTTAGTAATTTGGCAATATTATACATCGAGAATGACATTTCAAACGGGGTCGATTACGATAAAGATTGACAATTTCTCAGCTCAAAAAGCACGAAGAGTGAAGATATAATACATTTCGTTTATTCGTTCTTGTAATCTGTCTTGTAATTTCTCTTTAAATTTTCGTTGTAATTGCGAATTTTTTTTTGCATGCCTAATGTTGAATCTAAGAGAATGCCAGGAGATTCCCCCAAAAATTTCCCGGAAGAAAAATGTCTAAAGTCAACACCGTACACGGGGACCCCCTAATTCAAATTTTCTTGGGCCCCGTGAAGTTATAACGCTCCATTGTCACGATATATTATAATATATTCATTAGCTAATTAAAAATTATAAATATTTAAAGCAACAAAATATATTTAGATATTATTACTAATTCTGTAATTCTATCCTATAATAAATCAATCCCTTATTAAAGAAGTTTATTAAGAAAATTTAAAAAAAGTTAATTAACCGTATATATTAATAAACAGTGGCTCAAAAAAAAGGTAACCGAAACACAAGAGAACGCATTGTATACAAGTAAATATAATAATATCTAATTTTATTGATACAAAGTAAATAAAATTTAGTCTTTATATAAAAAAACGAAAGTAATATAAGTAAATTAAATTTTGTTTCGATAAAGGGTAAAAACATTTTTTTTTTTTAAATTTAGTCTCGTATTTTTATGGCTTTCGGAGAAGACCCGAGACTGGTTCGGGCCTTACCTCATTTCTCAGGCCAATATATATATATGGATATAAGGCCCAAGCACGTTTTTGTTTAATCATTATACCGGTATATACTGTAGGTGTTGTAAGTTATATAACTTACAATACCTACAGTATTGTAAGTTATATAACTTACAGTTTCTGATGGAACTTGTACACGAAGATGCCTCTTTTATTACGTATCGTGTCTTATGTATATATTATCCATAAAGATTTTTTAGAATATTTTATTACAATAATGCAAAGAAAGTCTTTTAATACGTATATTAATTTTATAAAGTCTTGTTTGAAAGTTAAATAAAGTTTTATAGTCAATAAAGTACAACAGTGGCTGTACGATAAAATACTAAAATAATATTTGCGCTAAAAGTATGGGAAAGAGATGCGTTAGTCGCGTCATTGTGGCACCACAAGATGACTATTAAGGAGGTCTTTTTTTGGGCAAACATTCATCGAATTTCATTAAATGATCGAATATAAATGTTAAAAATATGCTACTTACATCCAGATCTTTCTCGACTCGTGTCATCCTGGCTGTTGTAGGCTAAATCATGGGAAAAGTATGATGATCGGTCAAATTTTGATCGTTCCAGTTTTTTATTTTCTCGATGTTTTAATACTCCGAGAGTAAAATAAAACCTTTTCCTTTTTATTATAATTAATAGTATAAAAATCTCATAACAGATGGCACCAAACAAGATTTTATTTCGAGCTAAATTAGTGTTTTTAAACTTAAATATTCTTATTCGAAAAATGGAGAAATTTCTCGTAATTCAACAAAATTACTCCTTTTAAATTTTTATTACTGGGCTGCAATTTCATAAAATTCTAGACTTATAAATCCCACTGTCGTCCGTCCGTTTGTCTGTCTTTCCTTAATCTCTAGAACGGATTTAGATAGATGAAAGACGAGACCATAAATGAAAAACATAGCCGATTAACTGTATACGAACTTCCGACGCAAACCGAAAGTCAAGTTATTTCAATTCAAAAATTTTCCTCCGAAGGAATTACATAGATGACGACATGATTCTGTCGCTAAGAAGAAAAGTATGATGTACAGTACAAGGGCAAGACACTACTAATTTAAGGTAGAGAGCGTATGATTAAACGTATTATTAGAATAATATAATTAAAAATTTCAGCTCGGTATTGTGACCGTGTCACAATAAAAAATTGCTCGTTTTTAAATATTTTCTCTGGAGAAGGCGTGAGTCGGAGCCCGAAACGATGACAAATATGGACCTACCTCTCAAAAAGCCATATAAAATATAAGAATAGAGGGCATGTCCGAAAGAGTTCCGTCGAGCCCTTTTCTATTCGGATCCTATATTTACCTAGAAATATGGGAAATATATTACGAACATCGTAAACAAGGTAGGATATTTACAATTCTCCTCTTGAAAACCATAAAATAGGAAATAAGAAAAATATATATATAAATGCCCGTTAAATATATGCTTTTTATTATTAACATAACGAATAGTTTATTAATTAATTTATTTTATTCCTAGAAGCTTAATT